AAAAAAAAAAACTTTTGGCGGGCTGCGTGTTGGTCACGGAATGGTAGCTCGCCATGCATGAGCGACCAGCCAGAAGTTAGACCCCCCTCTTCCCCCCAACCCAGCGCACAGCTTTGTGCTACTTTTAATTTCAGTAGGTATGTAGGTGTTATAGAACTAGCCTGGAGGTCCCCCCGGGGTATCACATTTACACCCAGAGGGTGTGTTACATTATTTCAATTAAATTCATCTTACCGCATTCAATTTAAAATTATCTACTAAAAAAAAAAACAATTTAATTTCACAAGTCTTCTTAACGGTCATAGAATACGAGGGACAAATAAAGAGCTTTTTTTTTTTTTTTTTTCTCTCTCTCTCATATGATCAAAATTATTACTCTATATTTATTTTTTTTTTTTTTTAATTATTTATAAAATAGTTATTGCTTCATTAACGGCACATTTATTATGTGATTCGTTACCATCTTTTAATTTTGTAACTATGCGTGCCTGATGCAAGATTTCCTATTGACAGGAGAGTAAAATAAGAAACGTGTAAAATTGTATATACTATATTAATATTTTAAAGTTAATTTGGGCGTGGATATTTTAGTTTAAAATTGTAATCATGCTCTTTTACTTTTTTCATATGTGGCTAAGGGGGGCCATCCATACATGACGTAACGTATATGTCGCCAATTGTTTACCTTCCCTCCGCCACCGTCACCAAAAGTTAGACACCCCCCCCGCCCACACACCTCCAATATTACTTCTCAAACCTCTGTAAGACACCCCCAACCCCTAATAAAAACCCATCTGTCCCCTACTGTCCTTTACAAACCCTTACAGAAATCACCTCCCATTGATATCGAATTACCGCGCTTGTGTCAGAAATATGTCCATAGCACGGTGGTTGTTAAACATGGGGGAAAGCCCACCCTGTGGTGCGGAAGACCCAGAAAATAAAGTTCATTTGCTGCCATTGCCAGTTGTTGCTACCTTAATTTGCTGCCATTGCCAGTTGTTGCTACCTTAATTTGCTGCCATTGCCAGCTGTTGCTACCTTTAAAAATACAATCAGTGTTTATGCATTTTGAATAGCAGCAGTGAATTTCTGTTACATGTATTGCTTTTTTTTTTTTTTTTTTTTTTTTTTGTTTTTTTTGTTTAGGTTTTATTTAAAACACAAAAATCAAAAAAAAAAACTAAAGTTTTTGGTTGTTTTTTTTTTTTTGGTTTTTTTTTTTGGTTTTAAATAAGTAAAATTTTATTTAGCCGAAATAAAACAGAAAACATTGACAAGGTAAAGTCGCAATATACTCCAGCAGGTCGCAACTAATGCCTCCTCCACATCTCCTCCCTATGTCCTCTCAACATGCCCCACCCCCACACATTCCAAAAGCCTAGCTCAAAGCCGTCCTCGCTTGCCCCTCCCACGTATCCTCCACATGCCCTGTCACGTATCGTTATATTTGTGTTTTGTTTTTTTTGTTTTTTTTGTTGTTGGTTGTTTTTTTTTAAATAAAAATTTCATCTGTGCTAATAGTTGGCTCGTTACCAAGGCTAGTGGTACTAAAATGTAATGTAATTATATAGATAAATATCTAGAAATACAAGTAAACAGAAGAAGAAAAAAACTTTATCAACTTATAACAAGTGAAAAAGATACAGTCCTCAAAAAGCATATGATAATGTATGCGTGCACGTGTGTAACGTGTCGTATAGCTATAACATTTCTAGCTTTTTCCATCTGCTAGGATAATCAGGCGAGCTTTGCATAGGAATTACGCATTCCTGCCCGAGACAATCAGGGACTGGAACAACCGCCCAAAAGGAACAATTGCTGCGACAACACTTGAAACATGTGTGTCTATTGTCTCAGGCTTTTCCGTTCATGCACCCCTTCATTATGTGGCCCTTGCAACCAGTGAAATATTCTCATCAACACCAGGCTCAGAAACATTGCAAATCCCCTCTACATGCATAGGAGCCAGAATGATCAATAGATTGATCGTGGGCCATTAATATATAGAAGAATAAGAAAATTTAGAAATTGTGTCAAAAAATGGCATTATTGAAGACAAATTATGGAGTACATTAGAATGTATACAATCTTATCCCCAGCCAAGAAATAGGAGGACAAGCAATGTGTGAGATCACAGTTACACGGCGGCGTCAATATCAAGGTCTTCCTAGCAGACAAGTTTTGGTGGATACAAAGAGCTCCATGAGGACTGTTACTCACTGGCTTCTATTGTGAGAAATTAATCTCTTTTTTTAAGTTATGGCTCGTTCAAACAGTGCATAACAAAAGGACGATACCATAGAGAAAAACAATAGCAGAAATTCGATACCCAAAACAGTTTCTAATTAAAATTAATTAGATTTTTTAAAGTATTAATAATTACTAAACAAGAGAAATATAATTACAAATCATCAACTTACAGAGTATGGGAAAATCTTCTACCGATACACAGTTAGTACAATGTGTCAATTAATGATGTACAATGACGAATGCGAATAAACACATATAAGTACACAAAGAATAAAACTCTTGTCTCGTAAATTTAAAAATAGCTCTCTGAATCTCTCGCGATGAATCTCTGAATCCCCTTTTTATATCTATGCGTCGGAAGAACCAACGCTTCTAGAAATGTCTTCTATATTGTTTATCTTTCTAGTCAATTATCGAAGTTTCCCCAAAATTCTATTAGAATATATTACTTATTTTTAATTGATATATACCCAAATAATGTACCAAGACATGATTAAGCTTGAAACCAGACTCGACAATTAAACGGAAGTTTCGTCTAGACGTCTTCGTCATCAGACGATACAATAATAAACAAAATATAAATTTAAATAACAAAAATTTGACTTATTTTCTTGAAGGTCTCAATACATGTCTTTGTTGGTCAAAGTTCAGAACAGGCAGACTCAACACAATCTTTGAAAAGGATTTTATGACGTGGTACATTCAAATTTTTGTGTGAAACACAGCAGCTTACCCGTAGAAACCTCCCTCTGTTTCCCCTTCTGAGTGGTTCCTACTCCCTGTTTGATGTTTGTGAACTCAAATTACAGTAGTTTTGACTGGGCAATTTTTTTTTTTTTTAAAGACCAAAAAAATGTAAATAAATTTTAAAATAATATACGTTCAATCTGAAAACTGTATTTTCTTTTAATTCATCCATTCCATGCCTGCATATGGATTGACCAGTGATGCATAGCAAAACCACGGGTGCAACCAAACGCCACACAATTTAGAAATTTAACCATTTCGAAACATCATTTTCCTAAAATTCATTTTATATTTCTAAAAATAAAACGTCCAACCGCCAATAGTAATGGAACAAAAAAAATCATCTTACTTAGGTGTCAAAAACTTTTTAAATGTTACAACTAATGAGGCAGCAGATCCAGTGGAAAACAAAGCTCTGCATGGTTTTGACATCTTAGCGGCATTAGAAATGGAACACCCTGTCGTTTTTGCAACACCCGCGGCTTTGCTGCATGTCGCTAATGTCTTGACGACGCTGGCTGTCAATGAACCTACTGCTAGAACACCGCCCGTAACCCCAATGGCAGTTTCTAAATGTTCTCCTGTCTTACTTTGAGAGCACTTGTTATTCACGTGTTCAGCCTTCTTTATAATTCTATCAAGCGCCTCTTCTTTGTTTTTGATGTCCTCGTCGTCTTCGTCTAAAGCTTTAAGCAACTCAATGGCATCACTCTTTATTTTGTCAGGTATCTTCTTATTAGTCTCTGTAGGTAAGATTTCCTTGACTTGTCTGTCCAAGACATGAATCCTATCTGTAACAACATTGTGTTTCAAACGTGCCAGTTGATTTTTCAAAATATGACTTTGGAGTTCTATGTCCTTAAATAAAACCAGGTCTTGCTTATTTAGAAAGATCTTCTTGTCAGATCCCATGCTTTCGTCGCGCCGTCTAGAAGAATCAATGTCCAGCAGGTTCAAACTATGTTTTTTGCAATATTTGTCTAAAAAATTTTGAAATTCAAGCTTTAAATCAAATACAACATTGACGTCACATTTCGCTTTGCCTTTTTCGGAAATGCTTTTCCTCAAAGTCTGTATATTGCCTTTAATTTCTTCAACTAATTTAGTTACCCGAATTCTCTTGTCTAGGACAGTTAAGATGCTTCTAATTCGAGATTTAGGATCTTTTAGTAAACTTTCCTCACCACTTTTATAAAAAACATTTTCATCTCTGTCATTTAATTCATCTTCAATTTCAGATGCTTGGCCTTTTAACATCGTAAGGCATTCTTCATTTCCTTCTTTAGCGAACTCATCATCTACTTCCCTCTCTAATTCAAGTATTTTTTTATTTACACATTCAAGCAAAGTTTCCAATTCAGCCTCCAGCTTTAATCGATTATGTCCTTTCATATTTTCATTGAACTTTGAATTCGTATAGCTCTCCTTCAGCAGATTCACCTGCGTGATAAGCTCGTTCATTTGTATTTCCTTTTCATGGGCACTTGTGGTTTCATTCCTAAACAGCACACACCGGTAGGAACATGATCGAAACAGCTCCCCCAGGTCACCTCCCTCTTCTCTGCACCAGTCCAAAAAGCTTTTCTTTCCTTTATACTTCTTGTCAAACAGATCCCCGTGTGTTACAATTACAACACAGTTCATTTCCAAGAAATCCTCACCAAAGACAAGCTTGAGAATATACAGACCCTTTTTTATTTCTTCGGTGAATCGCTCACCAAACTTTATTACCAGACACAAAGCTTTCCATCCAGTCTCCTGACACTTATCTAGGGCCTCACGCATCTCTTCATATGTTTTTGTCAAAGCTTCATCACCGTCAACGGCCGTGTCCATTACTCCCGGCGTATCCACTAACGTCACGTCCCTGTCTTTGTACTTGACGCGCTCGACTTGACATGCAGATGTCACAGATTCACCAGAGTCACCTTCGATGCATTTCTTCTCACCAAGAATTTGGTTCACGGTGGCGCTTTTCCCAACTCCAGTGAGTCCAATCATCATGAGTGTGATGGGGGCCGACATTGTTATCTGAAGCAGAGGATTTTTTACATATGTTACGTTGTTTTTACACGTATCATCACGCTGAAAGTGTTCTTAAAATGTTTAAAGTTAAAAAGCATGCTTTTAAATTCTCTGCTCGGAATTGTGACCCTATAGACAACGCCATTTATTAAAATAAACATCTATACATACCGTAATGTGGTGAATTAGAAGAACACAGACGTCGACAAGATTGGTTGAAACTACAACAACTTCCAGTAAATTGGGGAGAAAACTGAAAGTAATATAAATGTTTCCTAAATTTATAAACGTTAAGTGTTTGTCCTATTGATCGCCTAGGCCCTATAGCCCACGTGGTCATTGCTATTGTTGGCCACTGATCCTAAAATATTGCAACGAGGTGTTCACTTAACTGGGACAGAGCAAGAGCAAAAAGTAATCTTGAAAAAAAGTTTTCATGGATGGCTCGACGGCGTAAATCATTTTTACTTGATGCACCAAAGTGATGTTCTTCCGCATGGAGACAGAGAGCCATGGATCGCTCCGAATGGAAGGATGTGGTGGAGCAGGCCAGAGCCCAACATGGGCTCGAGCGTCACTGATGATGATGAGCCTTAGTGATGCTGCAAATTTAATATAGGGGAAATCATGATGTTTACAGGACGAATTTCGAAAGGCTTACGCGTTAAACAGTGATAAAGTCCAACCAAATCGTCTGTTTCCATTACTTTAGTTGAGTGAAGGAATTTAATTGTATTATTTATTAGGGAAACACACCCACACAACAACAAATAATACAGTTTAACTAAACTGGATTCCAACTTACGAACTTTGTGAAAACTATTCGGGTGTGGCCCGCACTTAATAGATTAAGAACCTCTGATTCAATCTTGCAGTTAATCTTAAAACTCTCTCAAGCTGCCGCAGCCACGTGAGAGACAGAAAGCTATACTTGTATACAAACATCTGCTAAGTTCAATAGCAAAGCAGTCTAAAACCGATGCTGACGTTAATGTGTTCTTCCGTGTTATATAACTGCATGTTTTAGTTTAGCTCGAATCAAAGCGGGGCTATATAAGACATGTTATATATTTCATTCGCAGTCTATGCATTTGTAGACTATTTCAATTTTAGAACGTTTGTTATTCTTCTTTTATGGGCGTAAAGGGTAACTTGATCGATACCCACGTCGTCATTGAAAAGATCTACAATGGAAAAAAATAGCACTTCAGATAAAGAGGTAAAAATATTCGTAGCAAACGTTTTTGTGTTGATATTATTATTTTTTTTTATACCAACCTCAAAGCTAAACAGTCAATAAAAACTTCTACTATGTATGTAAATAGGTTGTTTGTCACCGCTTGAAAAAAACGATTTTCTTGGATAATAGTTTTAAAAATGTATCTAAGTAAATTTATGCAATCCTGAAAAGACTCTTTCTGTTTGCAGAAAGGACATTTTTTGGAGACATGCTACAGCTTTTTGCTTGTGGGAATTACAGGTAGCGGGAAAAGTGCCGTGGGAAATTCTCTCATAGGGTCCAATTCTTTTCTTAGTTCTAGCAGCAGCATTTCAGTCACAGAAGACGTGGTGTGCAAAACGGCAACAAGATATGGGACTAAAATATCCGTGGTTGACTCTCCTGGTGTATTGGACACAAAAGTGGACCCTGACCAAGCTAAGCGGAAATCTTTAGATGAAATGAAGAAAGCTATGAGCGTATGCCCGGCCGCAGGTAAAATGGCTCTCATTCTGGTGTTACAATATGGCAGCCGGTTTACTGAGCAGAACAGATTGGCAATCACAATTCTGAAGAACATATTTGGCGAGCAAAGTTTGTGGAGATCTTGCGTGGTAGTGGTTACTCACGGAGACTGTTTTCATAGTAAATATCAGGGTAGCAAGGATTTTAAAGACTGGACCGCAGAGCAGACAGGAGGCCTTGGAGAGGTTTTTGAAAACTGCGGTAATACATGTGTGCTCTTTGATAATGACACAGATGATTCTCAGCACAATGAAAAACAGTTTCGGGAGCTCGTCGCGTGTGTTGAGAGGCTTGATCAAAGTTATACAAAAATTAAGTTTAATGAGGCGAAGAAATCCCAAAATCGAATCGCGTTGGAGGCCGAACTACCGAAGTTAAAGGAAGAATTTATGGCAGAATTGAATGGAATAAATAATGAAATCGATTTGCTTGCCATCTCATCCCAGTCTCTTGACAAAATTGAAGATCTAAAGTTTAGGTTATCTTCAACTCAGGTGCATATAGACAACCAAGATAATCCAGATGTAATTTTTTACAAGGACGGAGAAGTTAGACTCTTGCAAGATGTACGGGAACAAGGTTTTCACGTGTTGTCAAGACTGCACCATGTGCGGAAGGAGATCAAACAACTGAGAAAAGAGGATATCGTTTGTTCAAAGTTTGTGAAATTAATTAACAGATTAGATCAGATAAATCCGAGAGTTCAAAGCGATGAATTTTTTCAAATAAAAGAACGTTTCAAGGAGTTGTCAGAAAATGAAAAGCTATTAAACGAGCCATGCACTGGGAGAGTTCGGGCGTGGAAATCTTTGGCAGAAGAAAAGCTTGAACACCTGGGGAGAGAGATTGACCGCATTTACAAAGTTCGACCAATACAGGAAAAAATTGATCAGCTTCGAGACGAATTTAGTGAAGTAAAAGTTCCTACCTTGGTCAGCAAATTTTACCTTTTGCACCAAACATCTGACCAGATTATTACCACAATAACCACTACAAGTCTGGACGATAGGGACAGGGAAAACTTGCTCCAACAAACGAGTGTTTTAAAAACAAAGATTGAGAATTTAAAAATAGAAAACGACATGTGGATAGGCTGGAACACGACCAATGGAATACTTGCAGCACTGACCATTGCTACCACTCCTGTTCCCATTGTGTCTCTGGGTATAGCAGGAGTAGGAGCGCTAGCGTCAATCGGTCAGGCAATTCATAGATCGGTAGAGAGGCATAGAAGAAACAGTTGTTAGCATCGAGTGGTCATTTACAATAAATTTTGAGTCTAAAGAAGGATTTGAAAAAAAAAATAATCTGGAAGACCCCAAGACGAATGATAAACAACAACTCAACCAGATTGACGGAGCTATAAACTAGAACTATTTGACATCTCATTTTTTGCTATATAAATAAATTGATATGTAAATATTAATTTTTTTTTTTTTTAAATTAATTCTAAGTAGATTTAGTATGTGTAATTGTTTGTCTATTTCTTCTTTGGGCCATCGCAAGCTTCAGAGAACTATTAATTTTTGTACTAGCGTAAAGAAGAGTAATGGTGAGTAAACGTTCGAGCAGTTCTAGCTTGTCTTCGTTATTTTATTTACTTTTAAATGTGCTTGCTTCCTCGTGGAGGTTGCTAGTTTGTTTGAAGGAAAGTAGACAAGGATCAAGAACTCTTCGGAAAAAAGGTTTCCTCAAAACACAAAGTCTTAAAGCTAGTAATGTCTTGAATTGTACTTGAGTAAAGTAGTAATGTCTTGAATTGTACTTGAGTAAAGTAGTAATGTCTTGAATTGTACTTGAGTAAAGTAGTAATGTCTTGAATTGTACTTTAGTAAAGTAGTAATGTCTTGAATTGTACTTGAGTAAAGTAGTGTCTTGAATTGTACTTGAGTAAAGTAGTAATGTCTTGAATTGTACTTGAGTAAAGTAGTGTCTTGAATTGTACTTGAGTAAAGTAGTAATGTCTTGAATTGTACTTGAGTAAAGTAGTAATGTCTTGAATTGTACTTGAGTAAAGTAGTAGATTTACATTTTAAAAGTTATTGAATTTTACGTGTGTAAAGTTGTTGAATTTTTTAAAAAAATTTCTGAGGAGAATAATTGTGCTTTACCTGTGGTGAGACGCGGAGAAGAAATTTGTATTGTTGATTCAAATAAAATAAAATGTTATTATGAGTGCCAGGAGAGCTCAACGAAATCCAAAGTAGGTGAACTTTATCGTCACGGCACTGAGACAAGTGAAGGTCTAACGATTTTTAAATCTTTGACTTTTTAAATTTGTTTTTAAGAGTAAATGTGCGTTAAATAAAATAAATTATGCCAAATACGTTAGAAAGAACGTGGTGCACATAAATATAGAAAGTGAAGCAAGGGCTTTACGGGAATTTTAAATTTAACACAAAAAAAAAAACTTTTGGCGGGCTGCGTGTTGGTCACGGAATGGTAGCTCGCCATGCATGAGCGACCAGCCAGAAGTTAGACCCCCCTCTTCCCCCCAACCCAGCGCACAGCTTTGTGCTACTTTTAATTTCAGTAGGTATGTAGGTGTTATAGAACTAGCCTGGAGGTCCCCCCGGGGTATCACATTTACACCCAGAGGGTGTGTTACATTATTTCAATTAAATTCATCTTACCGCATTCAATTTAAAATTATCTACTAAAAAAAAAAACAATTTAATTTCACAAGTCTTCTTAACGGTCATAGAATACGAGGGACAAATAAAGAGCTCTCTTTTTTTTTTTTTTTTCTCTCTCTCATATGATCAGAATTATTACTCTATTTTTTTTTTTTTTTTTTTATTTTTTTNACTATGCGTGCCTGATGCAAGATTTCCTATTGACAGGAGAGTAAAATAAGAAACGTGTAAAATTGTATATACTATATTAATATTTTAAAGTTAATTTGGGCGTGGATATTTTAGTTTAAAATTGTAATCATGCTCTTTTACTTTTTTCATATGTGGCTAAGGGGGGCCATCCATACATGACGTAACGTATATGTCGCCAATTGTTTACCTTCCCTCCGCCACCGTCACCAAAAGTTAGACACCCCCCCCGCCCACACACCTCCAATATTACTTCTCAAACCTCTGTAAGACACCCCCAACCCCTAATAAAAACCCATCTGTCCCCTACTGTCCTTTACAAACCCTTACAGAAATCACCTCCCATTGATATCGAATTACCGCGCTTGTGTCAGAAATATGTCCATAGCACGGTGGTTGTTAAACATGGGGGAAAGCCCACCCTGTGGTGCGGAAGACCCAGAAAATAAAGTTCATTTGCTGCCATTGCCAGTTGTTGCTACCTTAATTTGCTGCCATTGCCAGTTGTTGCTACCTTAATTTGCTGCCATTGCCAGCTGTTGCTACCTTTAAAAATACAATCAGTGTTTATGCATTTTGAATAGCAGCAGTGAATTTCTGTTACATGTATTGCTTTTTTTTTTTTTTTAATTTATTTTATCTACGATTGATTAAACAAAACAAAAGACAATAAATAAATTATTTAATTATTTGCATACAAAAGAGGGGGGGGGGGCTGTTAATAAATTGAGAGGGAATGCAACTCTGCAAAACGTTTAAGAGTCTCGGCCTAGAAAACTCACTAAAATCCCCCCCCCCCATAACATTTTTCCTTCCAACTCATATAAACAAGGTGCATCAAGTTGCTGGACAAAGTCACTACACTCCAGATAATGCTCCTCCGTGGCGTCCTGTGACTTGACAGAGGCCTTTTTTTTCGGACCTCGCATGCCTGCACTGATTCAGTGATCGAAGTTTGAAAATAAAATAATTATAATTGTGGCATAAGCGAATAATTTTTTAAATTATCTGTAATTTAAGGTTATTAAGTGCAATTTTGGTTCAAGAATGTTCCGCTTTTAATGTGACGTCACACTGCTATAACAACCCCCCCCCCTCGTCACAAAAATGTGATCTCCTAACCCCCACCCCCTTTTTTTTGGACAGATTACGTCATTTATGGATGTTCCCTAAATAAGTAAGATAAATAATGTAGTTTAATAAAAATAAATATGTATTTAATTGTTGCTGTTCTTGTTTTTTCTTTCTTTAACTAACACATTTTAAAATATTCCCTGTATCTCATTTCCTGCAAACTGCTTCATCTTCCTCAATTTGTAATCATCCGGGGACGTAACTCCGATGGTCTCTATTATAATTTCGACTGCACCAGACAACTCAAGAATTTTAATTCAGAGAAAGGACATTTTTTAAATTTCATATCTTAAATAATTTATGAATATAGACAGCATTTGAATTTTAGTATGAAAATTGGCTGATTCATGTATATGTATGAAGAATGACGCCATCGTTGTAACATGTAGAACAAGGCCTATTTCAACGTACCTCAATTACCACGTGGGTCGTTCAGGACGTGTAGCAATGAATGTGTAAGGTACCCCACCCACCCCCCGCCACGGGATTTCTTAACCCTGATAATACAGATCGTACAGCAATCCGGTTATAACAGGGAATTCGAAAGTGGTGCAAAACAAGTTCCTATCCGCAAACCGAGTTTGGATCTTCATGGGTTCCTCGGGCTTCACCAATAAAAGATGTGCAACTCTGTTTTCTGCTTCATTGCAATGTTCAAATTTTATTGTAAAGAAAACGTGTAGAGTAATTAAGGCTTAACTGGGTGCAATTTGTTGACACCGGGTCCGGGTATTTTTGAGAGAATACCCGGTGGTTGCAAATGTTACAAGAGAATAGTTAACTTCTCATTTTCTATGATACATGCCAGCCTTTAAACAATAGGCCCACAGACAGTCCAACACCATGGCTGCCGGCCTTTAAACAATAGGCCCACAGACAGTCCAACTCCATGCCGGCCTTTAAACAATAGGCCCACAGACAGTCCAACACCATGGCTGCCGGCCTTTAAACAATAGGCCCACAGACAGTGAACACCATGGCTGCCCGCCTTTAAACAATAGGCCCACAGACAGTCCAACACCATGGCTGCCGGCCTTTAAACAATAGGCCCACAGACAGTCCAACAACATGGCTGCCGAATTATAAACAATAGACCTACAGACAGTCCTAAACCTGCACCACACACATGGCTCTGCGTTGATTAATATAATAGTCACCTCCCCACAACGATACATATGGTATCTGTGTTCACACGTCACGCCTATAAATTCTATTGGAGTAGCTCATTCGTGTATAGATGCAACAGTAATTTTTTTTTTGTATGCACTATTGTAATTAGTTGCACTATTGGAAGGAATGTTATAATTTGTGTTGTTTTCGTGTGAGATGTTTTTATGTGGACTTTCTATTTTTATGTTGTTACATCTCATTTCGTCAATCTGCTTATGTGTTTCTGAAATGTAGTGGTACTGTGTCTAACTTAGGGGTAATCTGCTTACCTGCTCCTGAAATGTATTCGAACTTTGTCTAGCTTAATTAATCCGATTACCTGCTTTTGAAATGTAGTGGTACAGTGTCTA